GATGAAGTAGCAGTACCCATGGATGCTGAAACCAACCTCCTGGTTTCCCTCCGCCTTATGTACGGATTCAACCCATCCCCTACTGCTCAAACACCCCACCCTCAAGCACCCAACCTCCGGAGTTGGTCAGATGTCCTGGGTGTCATCGGGACAAAATCAGAACCTGATGTCTCAGACCGAGACAAGGTTCTAATTCGCGAGTTCATTTCATGCCTCATCGACAGCTCTTCGGGATTGCCAGCACCCTCCGACGACCTCAACGCAACATCGGATCAGCCTTTGGCAACATCCTTTGCGCTCGACACTGTGGAACGCATCAGTGAGGACCTATACGTGTTCAAGCTACCTCCTTCCCCCTCTTGCAAATGGGTCATCGGTGTTGATCGCCCCACGACTGTTCTTTACATCTGTCGACTGGTCGCCTCCGCTCCGAACACGCATACGGTGCTGACAATCGCCTACCACCTACTTGAGCACCACATACCCTTCTGCAGGCCTCCTCGGAGCCCGAACAGCTCAATCTCCCATACGCAGACAACGCCAACCGTTTTAACAAGCACCAATTCACGACAGCAGACTTCGACAGTGCTATGCTCGAGTGCCGCGCGCTGCTGGGCCGCCCGCAAGGGCGAGCTGCAATACTTCGCGGTGGCATTGTAGGGAGGATTGCAAGGGAATTCGGTAGTAAGGAGTCTGGGTTGCAAGGACCGTCCATCGAGGTCACAGTGCATCATTCGGGGTACTTTGTCCCGTCTAAACACGACGGGTATTTCTACTGGGATGACGACCTCACTGGTGAGGAGATTGCATGTTTGTGTGGGACATACTGCCTCTATACAGGTAAGGTCTGTCTTCCGTGAGTGTCTTCAATAGTGAATTGATTCCTCATATACAGGGCGTGGCGAGCAGACAACAACGGTCTCGTGGTTCCCTCCTCCGGACGTTTGGGACAAGCAGGGTTATGGCTGGCCAGGATGGACGGAAACTAACGAGGAGTTTTTCCAGCAGTGGATAGCA